TAATATATTAGATACTAAAGAGAGCAAAAAATATATGTATAAACTAGTCAAACAAATAGAAAAAAAAGTAAAGATACTCAAGCAGGTTTAGATATATGTTCTAAAGAACAATTCTGACATTACTAAAGAGAATTAATACAAACAATACCTCTTAAAAAAATTTTATTTGAGGAGATTTAAATGGACATGTCTGTATAGTGGTATAAGATTTTAGAAATATTCATGACGGCTACAATTTTGAAGTGATTAATGAATAAGTTAGAGCAATATTATGTATGATTTAGCTTATGATTTTGTTATTATTAATACTTTATTCAAGAAAAGAGATGAGCATATTATTACTTAAAAGAATGGGTCTAATAACACACAAATTGATTATTTTCTTCTTAGAAGAAGAGATCGTCGAGAATATAAAGATTGTAAGGTCATTCCAAGTGAGAATTTAAGTACTCAACATTGATTATTAGTTCTGAATTTTAAAATAAAGAGTTGTAAAATAAAGAATATTAGGAAGTATTATCATAAAATTAGATAGAGATACCTAAAAGACGCAAATAAATTATTTTTATGAGTCTTCAAGATTTCAAGATTTTTCAAGATTTTGGACGTTCATGAAGAAGCAAATTCTATGTGAGATAAAGTAACACATTATTAAACAAGTGACAAAAGATGTAATTGGACAACCAAAAGGAAAAATTTATATAAATCCAAAAGGAAAAATTTATATAAATAAAAATAGTTGGTGGTGGAATAATAATATCCAAGAAAAAGATGAAATATGAGAAATTATATTATAAAAATTAGTTTAAATGTAAAAGCTTAGAGAATTGAGCAAAATGTAAAAAACCCGTATGGAGTCTAAGAGAACAATCTGTGACGCTAAAAATTCTGCTAATAATAATTTGTATAATATATTATAAACTAAAGAGAGCGAAAAATATATGTACTAGTCAAACAAATAGAAAAAAAAAAGTAAGGATATACAAGCAGGTTTAGATATATGTTTTAAAGAACAATTCTAACATGACTTAAGAAAATTAATACAAACGATACCTCTTAAAAAAAAATTTATTGGAGGAGATTTAAATGGACATGTCTGTATAGTGGTATAAGATTTTAGAAATATTCAGGGCGGCTACAATTTTGAAGTGATTAATGAATAAGTTAGAGCAATATTATGTATGATTTAGCTTATGATTTTGTTATTATTAATACTTTATTCAAGAAAAGAGATGAGCATATTATTACTTATAAGAATGGATCTAATAAAACACAAATTGATTATTTTCTTCTTAGAAGAAGATATCGTCAAGAATATAAAGATTGTAAGGTCATTCCACGTGAGAATTTAAGTACTCAACATCGATTATTAGTTCCTGATTTTAAAATAAAGAGTTGTAAAATAAAGAATATTAGGAAGTATTATCATAAAATTAGATAGAGATACCTAAAAGACGCAAATAAATTATTTTTATGAGTAACTTCAAGATTTCAAGATTTGGGATGTTCATGAATAGGTAAATTTTTTGTGAGAAAAAGTAACAAACATTATTAAACAAGTGACAAAAGAATCTCTGCGGTGAGATGTCCCTCTCGCCATAATAGTCTATCTTTTGTTCTGACTGCATGATTTTGGTGGTGGAATAATAATATGCAAGAAAAGATAAAATATGAGAAATTATATTATAGAAATTAGTATAAATGTAAAAGTTTAGAGAACTGAGAAAAATGTAAAAAAACTCGTATGGAGTCTAAGAGAACAATCTGTGACGCTAAAAATTCTACTTATAGTAATTTGTATAATATATCAGATACTAAAGAGAGCGAAAAATATATGTATAAACTAGTCAAACAAATAGAAAAAAAAGTGAAGATACACAAGTATTTAACTCAAGTAAAATGCATTAAAAATTCTATGTGAGATAAAATACCAAAAACTATTAAGCAAGTGACAAGGATATTAAGTGGGGGAGTTATTTTGATAAACTTTTTAATGAATTTTTGAAAATATGATCGACCGTAGTGATCTTAATACTGCTAATAATAATAAAATGTTTTATTTTTACCATCATTGCATTAGAAAAAAAGAAGTTGAGGAGGCTTTAAAGAAAGGCAAGGGTGAAAAATCTATAGGACCTGATGATAGCTCAACTGAAGAGTGGAAAAATATAGGAGATTTGGGAGTTTCTTGACTTACTAAACTTTTTAATATTATTTTAAGAACTAAAAAGATGCATGAGTGGAGGAAGAGTATTTTGGTCCTCATTTTTAAGAATAAAGGAGATTCACACGAGATACACACGAGTGTACAAATTATAGAGCAATTAAATTGATGTGTCATACTTTAAAATTATGGGAGAGGGTTATTGAACATAGGTTTAAGACGTATTGCATAGATTTCTTAAAATTAGTTTGGATTTATGTCGGGCAAGTCTACTATGGAAGCTATACATTTATTAAGAGGTTTGATGGAGAAGTACAGAGAGAATAAGGAGGAACTACATATTCTTTTATTGATTTAGAAAAAATTCTGATAAAGTTCCAAGAGATATCCTTTGGAGAATTCTAGAGAAGAAAGGTGTTGATATAACTTATATTCAAGTCATTAAAGATATGTATACTAGAGTTGTTACTTGTGTTCGAACAGGAGGATTGACCAAATATTTTCCTATTCCAGTTGGATTACATTAGAGATCAGTTTTAAGCCCATGCCTTTTTGTTTTAGTTATGGATGCTCTTACTGAACATTTACAGGAGGATGTACCTTAGTGTATGCTTGTCGCTGATGATATCCTTCTTGTGGATAAGGCTAGAGAAAGAGCTCAAGAAAAACTTGAATTATGGAGGTCTACATTGGAGTCTAAAGGCCTTCGTTTGAGTAGAACTAAAACTGAATACATGGAATGTAACTTTAGTAGTAGTGGCTCTAGTGATAGAGTTGTAAGGGTGATCATAGTATTAAAAGGTGTGAATGCTTTAGATATCACGGGTCTATTGTTTAAAGTGATGGTGAAATAGATAGAGATGTTATTAGTAGAATTCAAGTTGGTTGGTTTAAGTGAATGAATGATTTGGGCCTATTGTGTGATAGAAAGTACTGCTTAGACTGAAAGCAAGATTTTATAAGATGGTGGTGAGACTTGCAATGTTCTAAGGCACAGAATGTTGGTTCTACGGCACAGAATGTTGGCTTTTAAAAGAGAAACATAAAATTAAGTTAAGTGTTGCTGATAAGTGTTGCCAAGATGAGAATGTTTCGGTGGATGAGTGGCTTTATGCTTATAGACAAAATGTAAAATGAATATATCCATGATAGGGTTGGTGTAGTTCCTGTGGCGAACAAAATTAGAGAGAGTCGTTTTAGATGATTTGGTCACATTAAACGTTGATCATTTGATGATCCGGTTAGAATATTAGATGTTTTTTATTCGATTTATGTTAAAAAAGGCAGGTATAGACCTAGAAAGACTTGGGCTTATTGCATAAAAAATGATTTTAATTTATTAGAATTAAGTGAAAATGTGGCATTCAATAGGACGCAATGGAGAAAAAGGACTCATGTAGCCAACCCCACTTAGTGGGATAAATCTTGTTGTTGTTGTTGTTGTTGTTGATTGCAAAAAAGTTTACTTACAACTTATATATTATTTTATATACTTGACATAAATTATTTAGAAGCTAATTTGAATTGATCTATTCAATTGCCTATTTATTTAAATTTATAAAATCACTCGTTAATAAATTTATATAAAAAATCAAATACTCGTTTAAAACATTAAATTATTTTCTAGTTTTATACCAAAAATTAAGTACAAATCAAAATTTTAATTTTTTATGATAATATAAATACTCGATCAATTTTTTAGCTTTTCAATTAATATAAAATAGTCAAATACAAATCAAGTATAAACATTTAAAATTTTAAGCAAACAAGATATAAACATATGTGTGAAAGCTCATCTCAAACTCAGACTGAATATGAACAACTTATAATTTGACCAAGCAAAGTCCAAACCATAACATACTCGACTCGACTCGATTCGGCTCGATTACAGCCATAGTGTTTGATATGTAAATAGATAAGAATGGAGTGGTATGTATGTAAATCTTCCAATAAATAGTGGTTATTCATGATGTAGATTGTGACTATCAACATAATCACAAGGAAAAGTAATTTGGATCACATAACATACTCAACTCGATTCGGCTCGATTACAGCCATAGTGTTGGATATGTAAATAGATAAAAATCGAGTGGTATGTATGTAAATATTCCAATAAATAGTGGTTATTCATAACGTAGCTTGTGACTATCAACATAATCACAAGGAAAAGTAATTTGAATCACATGCAAGTCAATAAATATAGCATGAGAAACAAGATTGAAATAATATTATTGCATATTAGCAATTATCAAACTTATGACTCTTAATATCCCTCTAATTTATTCTACACTAAAAGTAATGTCATGTCAACTGTTGACCCTGTTAAAATGTTTAAATTTATTTTGTTACTCAAAGCCTCTCCTATATTACCAGTGTTTATAGATAAAAGAGGCGCTGGTGAGGGATAAATAGTTCCTTTAAACACCCAGATATCATATATTTTTGGAAAAAATATTGTTCATCATATTCGGACAAAATTTTGATTATTACAGATTTTCTACTCAATGATTTACTTTGAGATAAGTATAACACAAATTTTGATTAACCACTCATCAAGTCATCTCAAAAAATGTTCAATAGATATAATACCCATCATAACTTGATGAGGATATACTGATCCAAATTTTATAGAATATTTTTTTTAATTTCGCAATGCTGGAAAGTTTGATTGTCATACTGCATTAAAATCAAGAATCAAATTTAATTTGAGAGAACCTATCTCTAAGAAATTTAAAAAAATTGTCTGTTACATCAAAAATCACACTAATAAATGAATGTAAGACTAGCGGGACATTTTAAACTGTTTTACAAACAGATTACCAAGTTCTGTGGTCACCTTTATATTTTGCATATCAACACTAATGACCTCCATCAGACGATCGCTAAGCATGTGTTCAACCTGCATTAAAAAAGTAATTAAACATCCAATAACAAAAGAAAAGCTTTAACTTTTCATTACATCCAATTGCATGACACAGAAGCCATCGTGAAAGTTCTTTAATTAACAAAACAGAGTTGATGCATTCTAGAATGCAACACGAACAAATGGAACAGGAACACACACAATACGTAGGGGCTGTTCTGGATCACGTATGATTTTTTTTTTTTTTTTTTTATGTTTTGATTTGAAATAAACATATTTGACTACTTGATTTAAGTGTGATTTTTTTTTTTAAACACTCAGAACACCTAAAAATTATTTTGAATGTCTTCAACAATATACAAATTTATTTTTATAAATAAAAATAAAATAAATATGTAAAAAAACACATTAAACAAACATATTCTTAAACACAAAAGAAAAACAAAATTGATCCCACACAGACCCTTGGTGAATGATTAGCTCAAAATCGTAGATAAACAAATGAAAAGAAATAGTTCAACTGAGTTAAGTTGAAAATAATAAAATCTATACGAGTTGGTTCATATCACACTCCACCTAGTTATCATGTATAAACAATGAAGGAAGCCACCGGTTCAAAAACAAGATAAACAAAGGAGCATCATGATGCGAGCAACAAACAAAGCTGAATCAGAACCATGTAAATAAACAGTTAAATAACAAGCAATAAATGAGTGGAGAGTAGCAAAGAGAAGAAATGAAATTAACGGCAAGAATGATAACGATGATAACATAACAAAATATAAGTGACCAGCCCAAGAAGCTCTCCAGTAGGGGTGTAAGTGAGCCAAGCTGACTCGTTGTCGGCACAAAAAAAAAGAGAGAAAGAAAAAGATTGTTTGGGGGGTCGCCCGTAAGAAGCTGTCGGCAGCCGGAATCGAAATCCCGTCACCCGCTTC